GACAATTAGTCCTTTGGACTAATTTTTTCCTTGTATCCTGTTCTCTTCATTCTCCCTTGCTCCCGAAGGGACGAGACCAGTGGAGTATCTTAGATGGCCGCTCACAGGCTTTTAAGACCCCAGACACTACTCACCAAAGTAGAATGTAGAGCATTGTCTTTATAAGCTGTGTCATGTCGATTGAGCTAGCTGTTCCCCGTGGTCTATTTCTTGTCTCTTTGGGTCTCTGCCTCTTTCTGTTGTCTCCGTTAGTCTCTGTTTCTCTCGTCTCGCTGGGTGTTTCTGTTTCTTGTCTCTCTGGGTTTCTTCTCTTTCATCATCTCTTACCCGCAGCGTCTCTGTCTTTGGTTCCTGTGGGTCTCTGGGGCTCTCTTTTAGGTCTCTTTCTTCCCCTTTATCTCTGAATTACTGTGAGTCTTCGTCTCCCAGCCTCTGGAGGCCTTAGGGTCGCTGAGGCCAGATCTCTGAATCTGTCTCTGACCATCACTTCAGGTGGGGGGGGCGGGGGGGGGACTCTCTGTCTGTGTGTCTCTTTCTCTAGGTCTCTGTCTTACTTATTTTTGTTACCAGGTCTTTGTGAGTGGTCCACCACCGTCTTAGTGGTTGCCTGTCTTGGGTGTCTGGAAACCAGTGGACATGCGCGCCCCGCGTCCTGTCTTCTCCCTGTGGGTCTCACTTGGATTTTCTGTAAGACTTTTCCGTGACCCAGCAGGATCTGAGCTACAGCCCTGAAGGGTGCGAGAGGAGGCCGGGCCTGCTAGGACGGGGGCCACTGACACGCCGCAGGGTCACTCGCAGAGACCGAAGGACAGACAGACGATGGCCTTCCAGCCACCAGTGTCTCGTGACATCGCCTAAAAATAGCCCCATCCGCGGGGCTCGAGGGGGAAGTGGTGCGGAGTGCTTACCCAGGACTGCAGGGAGTGGGATCCGGGGCGCCCTCTGCTGGGGGAATGGAGAAAGACACTAAGGGTTATTTCAAAAAAAAAAAAAAGATTGCCATGGGGTCATCTTGGACTCATGGCGATGAGTTCTGGCATTCTGACTTTCTCTTCCTGTCTACATTTCTTTCTGGGATACTATGTCCCCCTCTCTCTGAGTCTCTGTTCCCCTCTCTGGGTCTCTGTCCTCTCTGGGTCTCTGTCCCCCCCTCTCTGGGTGTTCCCCCCTCCCCCAGGTCTCTGTCCCCCTTCTCTGTCCCCACTGCTCTTTGGTTTCTGTCTCCTTTTTCCTCTTTTCTCTCGTCTTCCTCCTTCCTCTTTGTGGGTCTCTGAACTCTGTGTGTGTTTCTGTTGTTCTGTTGCAGGGTAGAGTCTTCCATAAACCAATCCCAAGTTCCCCCAGTAACCCTGAGCCTCTTCCTTGAGTCAGGTGGCACCATGATGGGATCTGGTGTTTCTGAGTGCCTCTTCCTGCCTCCTAGCTCTGTATATCCTCAGTCTAACCAGGTTCCCATCTTCCTCCAATTCCCAAACCTTTCCCTTCTGCTTTCGGGAAGTCATGTCTGTCAACACCTATATTCCCCACCTCTCTCTGAGAGCCTAGCTTCCTTCACCTTCCTGCTCCAACTCATTTCTTCTCCCTGAAGACCTTGCTTCCCTGAAGCCCTCTCTCTCTCTCACAATCCTACCAGTGGGCCTGGAAGTGGGGCTGGTGTCATTCTTGCTCTTCTTTGACACTTCCAGATACTTCTCTCCCTTCCAAACATTTCAACCCCTTTGAAGCTCAGGGTCTCCACGACACCTCCTTGAAGGTGTCATCTCTTCACCTTCTGGCCACTCCTGCTCGTTCATGGAACAGGCCCCCTGTCTGTCACTCCGAAACTGCTGTCATGATTCTTAGTAATTTCAGTATCCACATAGATGATCCTTCTAAAACCCGGCCTGTAGCAGATGGACTTTTCCAAAAATGGCCACAACCATATTTCTTGTCTGACACGGTCATCTAGAACCTTGCAACACCCCATCATGTGGAATCTAGGTCCCCTCCCCTAAAACTGGGTGGGTTTTGGTGATGATCTCAACTAAGACTACAGCAGAAATAACACTGTGTGATTTCCAATGTTGGATCATAAAAGGTGATACAACTTCAACCCCATTCTTTGTCTTGGGACACTCATCCAAGCCATGTGGCAAGGACCATGTGGAGAGGACGCCAGCTACTGGCCGTCGGCCCTAGCTGAACTCACACCAAGAACTTGCCAGCCATGTAAGGGTGCCATCTTGGAAGGAGATCCTCCAGCCCCTGTTGAGCCATACCCACTGGTACCATGTGAAGCAGAGATCAGCTTTCCCACCAAGCCTTGCCCAAATCACAGATTATGAGCGAAATAAATGATTACGGTTGTTTCAAGCTGCTAGTTTTGGGGTGGTTTGTTACAAGTAATAAAAATAGCAAACCCATTACCATCAAGTCAATAGCAATCTTATAGGACAGAGTAGAACTGCCCCATAGAGTTGCAAAGACTGTAATCTTTATAGAAGTAGACTGACACATCTTTCTTTTGAAGAACCGCTAGGTAGGTTTGAACTGACCTTTCAGCAGCCAAGTGCTTAATCACTGTGCCACCAGGGTTCCTTGATAATTGTAACAGTAATAGATAATGTGGTCTCTCAGAACCCTGATCCCATCACATCCAGCAGTCTTGCCCTCCACCCTACCTCAGCCACCCACTTTTTTTTTTTTTTTATTGTACTTTAGGTGAAGGTTTACAGAACAAATAGTTTCTCATTAAACAGTCAGTACACATATTGTTTTATGACATTGGTTAACAACCCCACAACACGTCAACCCTCTCCCTTCTTGACGTTTTTTTTGGTGAAAATATACATAGCCAAAGATACACCATTTCTAAAATTTCTACATGCACAATTCAGTGACATCAATTACGTTCTTCCAGTTGTGCTGCTATTCTCACTTTAGATGAAGGTTTATAGAACAAAATAGTTTCTCATTAAACAGTTAGTACACATGTTGCCCTATGACAATGGTTAACAACCCCACTACATGTCAACATTGCCCTTACTCAACCTTGGGTTCCCTATCACCAGCTTTCCTGTCCCCTTCTGCCTTCTAGTCCTTGTCC